TCCTCATGAAAACATACTGAAGTAAGGTCGAAGTTAAATCATACACCCAGATAGTCTAATTGATGCTATATTGTTGTACAATAATGAAACTGATAGTTCATTTTTAGGTTCATACGAAAAAATCAATATCAATTTTGAGACATGCACCTGTTGTATACCCTTCAGATATTATTTTTCGCGCAGTTATGTATAAATAACATCAATGCATTATTTACATTTTCAGATAGAAACGAAAGATGTCTTAATTTTCTAACTATATTTGTGCACACAAGCCAGAAAATTTGGTTGACCATAATAAAAGTCAGTTGTTTTTTCGGTACATGTTTCTCCTTCAGTTGGATAAACATGTGGACAATATACAGATGGTAATAGAGGAACAAAATTTATATGAATACAACGACAAGCAATATTTTCTTGATCTCCTTTATCATTAAATCTTCTTGTAATGTTCCCTTACAGAATTGATGTGTAATAGCATATAAAAAAAATTATTTTTTATTGATGTTCTTCATCTATATATGTATCTAATGTTAATCTAAGATTTCGCATTTGTCCATCGTAGCCATATGGTTTATAATCTTTATCAACAGCCATACTTGCAAAAGAAGTTAATGGTTTATTACAAGTTAAATTAAATATGAATGCAATTTAAGTGATTAAATATTTTTTACCATGAGTGACACGTACGAAATCCAATGTTTGAAGAACACTTTCTCATGATGGTAAATTTGGTATTGGACAACGAATTTCATATAAATATTCTAGAGCTAGAACTTTTGTTGAATATGTTCCAGAGGGTGGGTGCCGGTATGAGTATCCGTGAAGATAACATCAATATCCATACTCACATGTACACTTCCACTCCCCGACACCGCTTTTTATTCCATTCTCTGAAGAAAATACCGCCCAGAAAAAAAAAGAATTAAAAGAAACAGAAAGAAATTTGTTGACACAAGAGGGTGGCAAGTTTCGAAATTTTCTATTTTGCGTGATCATTTCCACAATAAGAGCATTATTTTCTTGAGAACGAGAACAAGAAAGCAGCATTGTTGTCAGTGACGCTGCTATTCGAGCGAAAGCAACGTCTTTTTTTTATGTTCTTCATGTTTACTCTCATGTGTCGTTTACCCATGTTCATTTTTTCCGTTCTCTAATCATAGCTCGTACACAGTTGCATGTTTTCTGCCGAACATCGATACATTGCATTTTTTTTCTGTAGTAAAGCAACACGATGGGTTGTGGCAGCTCTGCGCCCGTGCACGGTAAATATAACTGTAACCAAATAGTTACATTACTCTTATTCTCAATATAGGATCAAGCATAACATCGACAAGAAAAAGATCGTCGAATGGTCATAATGATGGTGGCATGGAATACAATGCCGAAGATACAGGTGATAATTATGGAGCAGATGTGGTATTTATGGCGGCGGCGTTGTAATTATGGAGGTAGTGACGATTATGATGGGTTAGCAACGATGGAAATAGTTAAGGCACAGATGGCATGACTAAACAAGTTGAGACGAACAGTTTCAAACTGATAAAGATTGATTGTTTTTCTTAGTTTCTTGTTCCGTCTGTGTTATTCTAATCAAAATAAATCAGTTCATACATGAATGTGATGAATTCTAACAAAAGTGGTGTGTCCAATTTCAGACTTCGCTTCCCAAAAACTCTTAACTAAATTTTATTACCCTGATAATCAGCATTCATCTCTGACCATTAGTTAAAAGTTTATTTTATATTTTTTTATTTAGTCTGATAGAGCGCAATGTGTTGATTATAAATGTCAAATTTTTGAAAAATTAGTCGGTTAATAAGAAAGGTCTGAAGCACTTTAGGTGTGAGTATGGATGTTAGTGTTAGTGAGGGTAAAGGAGTATATAACCGACAATCATCCACATCCATCCACACCCTTCTATCATTTCTTTTTTTCTGTTCTTTTCAAGAAACATAAAAAGTTGTTCTGATTTTATTCAACCAGCAGAGTTGTGTTTTTCTCTTGTAGATTTTTTTTTATTTACTCAAGAAATAAATCGGTCATTCTGCACACAAAGACTACTTTCAAAATTAATGTCAACTATTGTTATCGACTGATAGAACTGCGAAATTTTTCTTATGAAATGTTGATTTTCATATAAATTGTAAAAAGTGACTTCGACTTATAATTTGGCGTAATCAAAGGTAAAAATAACTTTTGCTTTTTTTAAAATATTTATTTCACAAGATAAACATATATAAATCAACAGATAGAAACACAAAAAAAAATGAAAGTGTTTTGTATTTATGTTGTCCATTTATTCATCCAATCGAGTACTTCTTGATACCAAATCATTGAATTGAGTATCGAATGATTTTCTTTGGGAAAATAAAGCATTCGACTTGGAATACCACGTCGTTGTAAAGCTGTAAATGCACTTATTCCTTGTGTATCAGGTACACGATAATCACGACCACCATGAATAATTAACATTGGTTGACTCCAATTTGCAACATGATTGATTGGATTAAATTTTTCAAATGCTTCAGGATTTTCATAAGGAGTAATGTTACCTGCATCATGTTCAATGAACCATAATTCTTCTGTTGAATAAGCAAGTTCTCTTAGATCAAATACACCAGCATGACAAATGAATGCTTTGAAACGTTGACTCATTTCTGGATGTCCAGCAATCCAGTTTATCATATAACCACCATAACTCGCACCTAATGCTACAGCTCGATTTTCATCAATATATTTATAACGAGTTAAAGCTGCGCTAAGTCCTAATTTGAGATCATCATAAGGTAATGTACCATATTGACCTGTAATGCTATCAGTAAACTTTTGTCCATATGAATCTAATCCATGAAAATTGATAGCAATAATAGCATATCTTTGTGAAGAAAATATTTGAAAATTTAAATCATAACTCCATGCATCATACCAACTATTTTGTGGACCACCATGAATAAGAAAAAGTAGTGGTGATTTTTGAGCTGTACCATT